AAAAAAAAACAAGGGTTTGGAAACTTAACTAGCACACACAACAAGGCTGTTTTTGGGTACATTGTTGAATATAAAATTAAACTTAGACTACATATTTGACCATGACACATGAAACTAGAAAGGAAAAACAAATAATAAGTACCCTAACCCAAAAACAGAGTAACAGAGGTGAAATCCTCCGTGACCCTTTCATTTTTCCATTTTTTTCATTGATAACTCTATTAATTTCTTTAGCTATGGCCTTCGCATCCATTGACACGCCGAATAGTCCCCTCCTTGACAATCCACAACAATACAGGTTCTTTTCTCCCCTCCAATGGTGTGGGAAATTATTCTTAGGCAACCCATTTTCATTGAGAACATGTCCATAATCCTGTAGAAAGCAACATTATCATATTTTTCAGTCTATTGAAGCACATGGTTTCTTAATCTTTTCTGTCTAAATGAAAATATATAAAATATGCAGCAGACAAGGAAAACAAAATTGAAAAGAAAGAGTGGTATTTCTAAAAATTTACCCTGAGCCATTTTTTAGCTATGCTTCTATAGCCAGTTGCAAAAATGATTGCATCAAACTCTCTCTCGGCACCATCCTCAAACAACACCTTCTTTCCGTTAATGCTAGATATCCCTGGAACAACCTATAACGCATGGCAGAAATAAAGAGCATGAGAATATAAGATTGGAGCTAACTAATTAACTTTAACTTAGAAATATTTCCAAGTGATATGCCAATTCGAATCCATCTCCAATTAGAGCCAATTAGCGATTGCATTTCTTGTGTGGAAGGAAAAAAAAAACACATTAATTGCATTTCTCATATAGGCACACAATTTGATTCTGGATTGGTAAATATAATAAAGTTTAGCCTACCATGACTGAAGAACAAAGTACTTAACTAATTAAAAGGTTTTCTCCTATAAACCAAGCCTCAAAATTTAAAAATTTAATAACCAAATTTAAAGTCATGCCGCATACGAATATTTGACTTATTGGTTAATGCATGATCTTCCTACTTAAAGAGTAGGGTTCAAATCCCCCTTCCTTTAATTATAAAAAAAAAATTTGAAAACATGTCACATGTTTGAATGTTCTAATATCATTGACTAGTGGGAGAATTTTAACTAATTAAATGCTTATGAAAAAAAGCCTACTACTTACCGATCGACAATATGAGTAGCCTATCATGATAGACAAATAAAGTATTTATTTAAAAGAGATTTTTTTTCCCTTATAAATTAGTGGTAGAATTTAATAAATTCATAAAGAAGTCAATGAAATAAATTCATTTCACATGTTTGGACACTGTGGATAGTGTTTAACGTAATAATACTTAATTAAAGGCTAATGACAAAAAAAAAAACCTTCTAGATCATAGCTAAAAAATCTCTAGTAGAGAGATAAAATATATAATTTATAATCAACTTATGCTTAGGAATTAAGACAAAAAAGGGTAAAAATGAGAGAAAAAAGAAAGAACAAGAAACACAAACGTTGGCATTAATTGAGAATTAACTTCGTTTGATTGACCTTTATTGCTTTCGACTTGATCTTGTCAACAGATCCAACATCAATTACAGGAGCTCTTCCCGCCGTGGCTTTGAGATGGAAAGGACCTTGGTTAGGTCGACGGATTTCATATTTGGATAGATCTCCATACTTTATATTTGCCATCAGTAACACCATGAAATCCACCACAAAAACGGGCAGATACTTGGAGAATATCATCCCTAGCCGCACTATTTCTTTGCTTAGCACATGAAACTACAAAAGAAGAGCAAGAGTTGAGACAGATTTTTTTGTTCTTTTCCAAATCAAATTTAGGAATAGTTCAATGAAGATACTATATAACATTTGAGGAAACAAAATGAAAGCACAAAAATAATAAGAAGAATCGCATATCTGAATGTCTATTTGTTTGATGCTAATATTAAAGAAGCAGCCAACTTCTCCATA